TCCAATGGTGTTAGTGACTGATAACGGCTCTCATTTTGCTGCAGATGCAGTTACTACCTAGTTAAATGGTATAGGGTGCAAACATCTGTTTACTGCTCCCAGACATCCTTGTTCCAATGGTCAGGCAGAAGATTTTGTCAGGACGTTGAAAACTGCTATTGATTCTATTGCCGCCTCAACATTTAATGAGCTGGAGAGGGGAGTAGATACCTTTCTACTGCAATATAGAAATGCCAGACATTCGGTGACGAAAGAGACTCCATCAAAGCTATTAAAAGGAAGAATTCTTCGGTCGAATATGAGATGTTTGGAGTCTGCAGAAGTTACATATTATCGTGGCAATGATCTTCGACCATCCACGGGGATTGTTCTGAAGAATGTCGGGAAATCGATGGTGCGACTTCTAGATATCAATGACTTGAGTACACACATTCGACATGTTGATCAAATACAATTCCAAGAACCAGGTGAGTCTGTTCCAATTTCGGTTGTTAATTCTAATACTAATGAGAGCATTCTAGATAACGCAGAGCCTTTATCCAATGCACTGTCGGACAGACACAGGATGAATTTGAGAAGAAGACGTACAATTGATTACAGACACCTGGATTCCAATTTAAGCTGTGGCGGATGTGGTGTTTGAATGAACTAGTGACTTCTTGTTGTTGTTGAATGCTTGATTTCGAATTCTAAATGCAGTACCTTTGTTCGTGCTTATCTAGTAGTTCCTGATCCACTTACGTATTTCTGAGATCATTAGTTAATACAAAAATTCAAATACTTCTAATCATCAAAGAAACTCCTTGTCGTTGAAGGCGATCCAACTCTTCATCTACTGTTGCTAATGTTGCATAAGGTACGGGTCTCTTTGAACTGAAGGCAGGCTTATACCCAGGTTTCAACCGAAGTGTTGCTTTCATGGCAGTGCACCGACCTAATCCAGGTTTGAAAATGGTTGAAAACTGCGTCATTAGATTCCTCGTATATGCTTCCGGGTCATGTGTTCGTGATGCCAGGTGGCATATGGTATTTAACGGGACATCAGCCAATTTTAGCTGGTCGAACCAATCTAAACCAAGTAAATTTAGATCAGCTGGCGTTATATAACATACCCCAGTAAATGACGAGTCTCGGAAGTTAACTTTACATTCCAATTGTCCCAACAGACGAAGGTAATTACCACATGCTGTACGAGGCTTTTGTGTTGTGTGCTGCAGGCATGGGCCGCCCAATTTGGTCCAATTTTTACGTAAGAGGATGGTGACATCAGATGGGGTATTTATTCCCAATCTAAACAGATACCCGTTAATTTTAAGAGCAATAAATTTCCCTTCACCTAGTGTTGAGCCTTGACAAGAAGATACTAGGTTCAACGAATCGGTACAGGATCTAGGGACAGACTTCGTGGTACTGCTAGATTGGTTTGGCTTTCTCTTTAGAAAGAAACCATCTTTATGACCGAAGACCCTACACTTCCTGCATCGAAGTTGCCTAAATGGGCAGTTCCGTACATAGTGCCATGAGCCGCAGTGCCAGCAGGCAGCAGGGGGAATTCATTTTTGACATTTGGACAGAGCTGAAGAGGGATGAACTGGGTGTAGCATGGGCAGATTTTTTCTGATTAGGTGGCTGCTGTACCAAATGTACTTCAGATCGGCTTGAACTATCACTCTGCACTATAGTCAAGTCTCTTTGTAGGCTAATGAGACGTTGGTACTCATTAGCCATGTCACTAAGGGTGAGATTCGGGTCTTTCTCTAAACGACGTAGCAGCCTTGTTTTAATATCACTGAACTTTTGGGACTGGAGGCTGCAAACGGGGGGGGGGGGGGCTTTTAACTTATTTTCCAACAAAGACTTCAACTGAAAGCGTTCGTATTCACGTTTGACGATGCCTACGTGAGTAGGAAAATCATCATCTTCGTTCATAACTAGCTTCAAACATCGAAAACGTCCCCAGCAGAAATCCAACCTGTTGATCTCAAAGTTGGGCGTCTACGAAGTCCTTCATTCTGTTTAACAATACCCTGTTGAAGACTTTGCCTGGTATTGAAAGAAGAGTGATGCCTCTGTAGTTCTCACACTTGCTCAGATCTCCTTTCTTTGGTATTTTGATCAGGTATCCTTCTTTCCAATCTGATGGTACTTGTTCCTCATCCCAAATCTTCTTGAAGAGAATGTGAAATATTTTCGCAGTTGCTTCTACATCTGCATTCATTGCCTCTGCTGGAATGTTGTCTGGTCCTGCTGCTTTGCCACTCTTGATTTGTCTGATGGCCATACTGATCTCCTCAATTGTAGATGCGCCAATATTAATTGGGAGGTCTGTGGATGCTGCTTCGATGTTGGGTGTGTTCAGTGGAGCTGGTCGGTTCAAGAGTTCCTTAAAGAGCTCTACCCATCTTTTTCGCTTTTCTTCATTGTTGCTGATTACATTGCCCTCCTTGCTTTTCACTGGTCGTTCCGGTTTACGATAGTTTCCTTTTGATGGGCTTCGTGTGACCCAGAACTTCGTGACATGCTGAAGTGATAGCCTCTTTGATCCCTTTCCAATTGTTCACCAAGGTTGTTTCCTCTCTATTGAGTGGAATATGCACGGTCTGAAACCCAATGCTGAGGGCCATCTTGAATTCACTGAGTTCGTCAGTACCCCGAAGAAAGGCCATATTAAACTTTTGTGATGTCGTCCACCCTTTTGTTCACTACTTCTTGGGTTTAATTTTCATTTTGGCGACCAGCAAGTGGTGATCTGAGGCTATATTAGCTCCACTCCTGGTTTTCACATTTTCCATGGTCCTTCTGAACTTTTTATTGATGTAGATATGGTCAACTTGGATCTGAATATTGTGATCTGGTGAAATCCATGTAGCGTTGTGCATGCGTTTGTGTGGAAATATAGTGCCGTCGTCATTGTAGTCACTGACAGGTGCATAGCATGGGATGAAGTTCATTGTAATGTCCTCCTCTTTTGAAGGATGCTTTGATGATCCTAGGTTCATGAGACTGTTTTCCTACCAGTTCCTTTTGTGGTTGTTTGGACAGCATCAGTGCAATTCATTGTGTGTGTGAGGCATTTTATTCCTCTCCTGAAACTAGTCTTAGTTGTCCAACCTGTTTTCAATGCGTTTCACTGATTCCACGGAGCTCTAGGTTAAATCTTTTCATTTCCGCAGCAACTTGAAATATTTTTCCGTCTCCTACATTGTTCGGTGTACCTAAAGTTAATGACTGTTCTGGATTTCAGAAGGGTCATTGACCTCATGACTTCCGAAGTAACTCGGCTTTCATCATGAGACGTCATAACTCTTCTAAATTAAGACTTTCCAATTCCCAGAGCAGAGTTAAAATGGTTTGAATTGATTTTTTGGTTAGCTTTTTTTAGCGAGTCAATTTTCTACGGGATGGGGCCGCCAATCCCATGCCCGACACTCTCCTTTTCTGGGCTTGGGACCTTAAAGGGGCTCCAGGCGGTCATATAGCAAATGTGAAAGATAAAAAATAACATGCTGTGGATGCCTTCCAAAAGTCCCTGATTCGATGAAAAAAAGCATTCATCGAAAGTTCGTAGGCCAATGACCTTCCGTATACATTGCCACGACTCTCTTGCAACTCATTGTTGCGGAGTAGTGTATCTCACAAAAATCTATAGGTTGGGTGTTTACAGTTATGAATCAGTTTTTTCAGGGTATCATAACGTTCGAAAAAATCACGTACTTGACCGACCTGAAAGGTAGTGCTTCTACTACAGGAAAACAGTTGCACACGTGAGTCGAAGTTCGAGGGCACAAGAGTCTTAAATTTAGAAAGGTTAGGAACGTATTTGTTTTAAATATGAGTTGATGGATTGTGGGCATACTAAGATAAAATCTGCTATTTACGACCACCTTTAGTACCCAGTTTGTGTGACTGTGTTACTGTTCATCAAAGCAATTTAACCATTAACTTCTATTTATGGTATGTCGAAAAATCTGCAAGAAAAGCAATCTACAACATGTTATAAATATTTCCGCTGTCTTTCAGTCTTTTCTAGGGATTAGATTTAAACCGTCAACTTTTTGACTATACGAGTGCATGATCTTGACTGATCTATAACATATTGTGCAGAGGTTACTTTATAGTCTATACTGAATCGCTCTGTCGTGACACTGAGCAGTATGAATTTCAGGATTTTCGAACAATGGGTTTGGGTTGGAGATAGAATAATGTATTCAGGATGAAAGGCCAGAGGTCACACTGAGTGAGCACACATAGATGGCCGAGTCATGCGTTCACTAAAGCTGGCCTCCAAGTGTTCACGTCTCATCAGTTGTAATACATTCGGTAACAAGTCTGCACCTGGAGATCTCGACTGGATGATGGCGAATGACAGTGCTTCACCAATAAAATCTGACTAACCCCGAATCGGTAAAGTACACTATAACAGCCACTTGGAGTGAGTTATCGATCAATTAGTGAACATAAAGTTGTCACGGATATTAAGAGTTGGGCTATTCTTTTGTGCTTAATGCCTTTCAGATCAAGAGTATCCAAATCCAAGTCAGACCACAAGTCGGGAATGGAGAGAACTAAAGATACATTTGTGCAATTATTAAGATACTGAAAAGTTTATGAACTACGATGCCTAGTTTATGCGAGATCCAATATCCAATATCTTTTTCACGAGCTAGTGTACGGTGCGCTCAACGGTGATCTGGTGCAGATACGTGACAGGGAGTCTTCAGCTAGTTTATGTTCACTGAAAATAATGAGGTTGGCATCAATGTCACAGGCTTACAGAGCTGTTCATTTTGGGCGTTTATTAATCGCTACACTATTGCATGCTTGTTGTTTACTTTTATGTTTGTAAGCTATGTCTATGTTAAGTGTAATATTTACATTCAACCCCTGAAAGCGCAATAACTTAGTTTTCTTATCAAGACATCCATCAGGAAGAATAGACTAACTAATTTTCTGTCTCACTTTTGTGGGCTTGAACCAGGACAGCGCCACTTCCGACTGATGCGTTGCTCCCAGGGTAGGTAATCCCGTGCTGCAGTCACCCTATTTGTTACAAAAGCTAATTATCCAGCTATTAGTTATTTAATATTTTCAACTTCAGAAAGCATAATAAACTTGGTGCACTTATCAATTTTTTCTTTCGAATATCTAAATAAGAGTATCTTATTTGACAAATCAACTACACGTCAATGTAGTTTTAAATTTCGCTCTAATCTAGAGGTCTCTCTATAACAATTTACGTCATTCCGGGAAGCTGGTTTCTTACTAAGCTTGCGCTATCTTTTATTTCTTCAGGAGTGTTTGCTGAAGTATACCAATTGGTTATACACCCTAAGCTTCCTTCGTAAAAGCAGATGATGTATTTGCGAACACTGGTAATTTAGCTTTAAAAGCTTTCGAGGGTTGTTCAGTATTATCAACTTGTCCGGCTAACAGCTGATAAAAATGAAATCTGGTTAGTGTGGATCACTATTTGTCTCAGTGTAGCTTCAAAATTACAAGAACTAATAGGAATTACCATACAATAGGTACAGTCAATTTAGCTGTTGCAGTAAGTAGAGTACAAATTTATGCACGTAAATCATTGTAAATAGTTATGTTCTGTACTTGTGATACTCTCCGGGTTAGTGTTTGATGATACATACTAAATCATATTTATCTTCGAATGTCTGCTCACACTCAGTTGCTTGACTAGCCAACAAAAAGGTACAGCAACATGTGTTTTTACGTAGTAATTTTCATTTTTTTGGTATCCGTACTCGAAAATATCTACCTAGGTAGCCTAGACAAGCTCTACCAATGTTATCTTAAACGCTTCCCTGTTTTCCAACACTAGTACTGCGTAAAGAAATATCGAGTAATTCTTAGCTATAAAATATATTCGTGGGTTAATGTATAGTAATATCAATAAACCGCATGTCATTCCACTCTCTTCAACTTCAGGCAGTCACACATGGCTTTGAAGTGAAACTATTTATCTGTTGTCGAATCTGTCTTAGCGACTAAGTTATGTAACATGATGGAATTCCGATGTAAACAGCTTACACAAATTTTCTGATGACTAAGATTAAAGAAAAAAAATACGCGCAGCCTAAAATCAACCTCTGAATTGTCATCATTTTCCAATTAACGCAAATAGCTATTCTATCACCTGAGAAATCATTCCGGTTAGGTCCTGTAAGGAACTTTTTATTGGTTTTCACATTTAATGCAAATTCAATGTAAGCGTTAGAATGATACTGTCGTTGCACGTTTCTACATTGCATATAATAAATAAACGATCTGTATAGACAGTAGGAATAATAACACCTGTTAGTTGCAGTGGAGAACTTCGAGGAAAATGTTTCTGAATGTTAAGATAAAAGTTATGGATTAAAAATATGTCCATTACGCAAAGCAGTATGAATAATAAATATTTCGTTTCTTTGTAATCTATTTTAAGTAGCGAGTTTTAAATGTTTTAAAGCTCATATTCCGATTAGCTACTATGAACCCCATAGATTTTTTCTTTTCTTTGGTGTGACCTATTTGGTCCCGTGATCTGTCACGGGTATGAGGGCGGATGTCACTTCCCGGCTGCCCACACTGTGGAAGGGTGATTCGTAAGAAATCTGAGAAGGAAGGTAGATTAGCGTTGGTATTAACGACCTGGGAGCGTGACCGCAGAGAACAACTGACAATCGCCTGATGTTGGTTACGCGTGGCCTTTTTATGGGTTTTTAAGTGTTAGCTCCGTTCTTGTTTAAAAGCCCTTATAGTCGGAATGGAAATCCGTGAGGTAGTGTGAGGTGTGACATTTTTAGGGTCGACCTTTTCTAACCCTTCCTTCCTTGTGAGAAGGCAGCATCGCTGCAGATGCTGGTTGTCCTAGGGAAAAAACCTTACTGCTGTCACACTCCTCTGCAGTCAGCAGTATGACTTCGTCCTCACATTGAGTTGCTGCTTTCAGTCCCACGGTTTTGCAATCGACCTGTCTTACACAGTAGAACCTAGAGGAACATATGTCCCAGCCAGTATAGCTCGGTTGGGTCATCACGATAGTCAAGCCCGACCATCACGTCAAGGTAGCAGCTAAGGTCAGGTCAGTGTGCCCGACTTTAAGTTATGTTTCTACCTAATCCATTATTACTCGAAGTTTTTATTCACAGCATTCATTTATTCACCAGCCTTTAATCAGGTTTACTATCTTCATCTAATTCTCCACTTAAAGCCCTTGTTGGTAATGAAGCTGCACTGTTGTACGTTGATTAATACGTTACCAAAGTCGAACTGTTACCTTCTACCAGTGAATCAGTCAGTTACGACGTAAACTTTCGTACGTACGTACATCATTTCACGTTGCTATACCACATTAGCACAGAAATGCAACTGTCAGTTCAAATCACATAGTGGTAAGGATAGTAGCAGTAATCGGAAGGATTGGGGTTCGAAGATATCACTCAAGAAATATGATTTGGTGAGATAAATTCAGAAAGAGGAAGATAGAGGGATTCAAGAGATTAGAATTTCATAGAACACACAGATCGGATGCACCTGCGTCATTGCAAACGGTTTTGAGCCATGTCGTTCAAGGTGTCTAACCATCGGTTACTATCGTCTCGCGGACCCCAACCAGGTAGTCTACATCTACCAATATGACTCAGTCCACTTGTCAGTGACTTTATCACCCTGCACCGGTAATGAAAACGTTTCGAGTTACCTTCTATGATCCTTCAGGAATCTTGAAAACATTTATTATGGTTCATATATATTACAACAGTACTCACTGCAGATTGATTCCTACAAAGATCCTCTTTGGTATTTCGTTTTCATTATGAAACTTATATAGATAAACTCAATAGTACCCCTGTTAAAAAAGTATATGCTCAATTTTTTCAATTTGTTATCAAGGTTATTATTTGTCTCGAAATTGTTTGTTTACTGATTTTTTGGACACTGTCCGTGTTGTGTGCTTGTACGCATGGACCAATCGATTAAACTGAATCAGTGTTTTTCTCCATTATCAATCCAAAACAAGTCAACTAATGGGATTCGAACAAAAGCAAACCATGTAGTAGATTGTGACTATTGTCGCTTACCTCCAATCACTCAAAAACACAGTAATTCTAGTAAGTTATACTAAAAACTTTGTTGTGATGGTTGCTTGTTGGTGTATGTGTTTATGGCACGGAACAGCGCTCGTAGTTTCATCTTCTATTTAATCCAAATCAATTTTCGTTTGATATCAAATTATTACATACATTTCATTATATATTTATTTCCTAGTTTTATCTACACTAAATTACCTTTTATCGTTTAGCATTGAATAAATACCGTCTGTTTGTAACCGGAATAGTCATAAAAATAGCACACTAAAATACACAGCAGCCAATTACAGCCAATGCACTTTTGAATGTTTCCATAAACCTTTCCGCTTGCCCATTCTATTGCGAGTGGTATGGTGGCGAGAGTAATTTGTGGAAACAGCTAGTAAGGTAAACCATAAGGCAAGGAAGAAGCCGTGGATCTCAATAGCATCTACCGAGCTGATAGATGCTGGAAAACTCATCCCACCTGGCTCTAAACAATACAAAGGGCGGAGTCAGCTTAAGCGCAGGCTGATAAAAAAACCTACGCATTGATCGCGAACAGTGGTGGGTAGCGAAGGCAGCGGTGATAGGTAATAGTAGTCAGTTTTTCCGACTTATCAGGGAAACCGGTATTAAGAACCCGAATGTAGTTGAGACTATCTCGGAAAAGGATGGTCTTATTATTCATCCTCAATCCAGGAAATTGGATCAGTGGGCAAGACACTAGGGATCAGTTCAATTGGCCTTGCCCACGTCGACGTAAGTCGTCAGACTTTTTAGGAATTTGAAAAATCGATGAGAAATCTGAAGCGAGGTAGAGAAGCATTGGCACCTGAACTAGTGATAGGGAGTGAAGTAGTCGAGCGTGTTGATCACTTCACTTATCTGGGGAGTCTCATCAGTGCTGACGGCCTGGTGACTGACGAAATCTCAGCTCGGATACAGAAGGCTCGATTGGCTTTTGCCAACCTGCGTCACTTATGGCGTAGGCGTGATATCCGTTCGCGAACCAAAGGGCGGGTGTACTGCGCAGCAGTTCGTTCCGTTCTCTTATATGGCTGTGAAACATGGCCGTTAAGAGTAGATGTTCGTAGGTTACTAGTATTCGATCATAGATGTTTAAGAAGCATTGCTCGTATATCGTGGGACAGCCGAGTAAGCAATGCTGTCGTTAGGAAACGAGTACTAGGTAAGGATGGCAGATCAATAGATGAAGTGGTGAAACTTCATCAGTTGAGGTGGTTAGGACATGTGTTGCGTATGCCTAACCACCGACTGCCTCGACGAGCCATGTTTTGTGGTGTAGGAGTAGGTTGGAAGAAAGTTAGGGGCGGCCAGACCAAAACATGGCACAAATCCATGAAGTCACTGACAAGTGGACTGAGTCATGTTGGTAGATGTAGACTACCTGGTTGGGGTCCGCGTGACGAAAGTCATCAATGGTTGGAGACCTTGAACGACATGGCTCAAAATCGTTTGCAATGGCGCAGGTGCATCCACTCTTTGAGCTCTCTCAAATCCTAATCTTCTGGATTCGTCAGCACCACTACCTTTGTCTTTCTAACCTTATCTCACTGAATTATATTTCTTGAATAATATCTTCGAACCCTAGTCTTCTTTATTAACATTAATACCTCTACTATCTTTATCACTATAGGATTTGATTTGACATTTGCGTCTCTGTGCTAATAATGTGGTATGGCAACATGAACTTATGTACATACGTACGAAGTTCTACGTTGCAACTGACTGACTGACTTTGGATAAGAGAGAAGCATGGCCTAAAAGGCTTACCGATGAGATTTTTAAGGATAGTGGTCCAGTTTTAACAGTTAGATTGACAGATCTTTGGTAGAATTCGGGAACTGGGCGTAATCCCATCCAAATGGTCTCAATCCCTGATTTTCCCAATTTATAGGAAACGACAAAAGTCATCTTGTGACAATCACAGAGGAATCAGTCTAACTAATATAGCTTCTAAATTGTTAGCCTCGATAATATTTAGACGCCTCACTAGAGCTCGTGAAGAGCAGACTAGGGAAAACCAGTCTGGTTTCAGACTTGGACATGGGCGTATAGACCACATCTTCACACTACATGTGGTGTAACACAGACACACATTTAGGCGTCTCACAATAGTAGTATTTCTCGACTTTGAAGAGGCTTTTGACTCTGTTGATCGTGAGGTTCTGTGTCAGTGTCTGTCGTTGAAAGATGTACCATAGAAGTACATTATCTTACACAAGCTCTCTAATCGAACACCACTGGTCGAGTGAGAGCTTATGGCAAACCGTCATCGGAATTCATTACTTCTAGTGGTGTCCATCAGGGTTGTTCACTTTCCCTATTCTTGCCCGATTTCGTCATAGACCTGCTGCTAGATATAAGATTATCTTCGTCTAAATTTTCAGAAGTAGTTCTACCAGGAGGCTTGCTTATCGACTTAGAATATGCCGATGACAGTTCTATTCGGTAAAGACGCTGACAAAATGCAGAGTCTTCTGACCATCCTAAGCAACAATACAAGCATGTTCGGATGCGGTCTTTCCCCTCGAAATGGAAAATGTCGCTCCAAGATTAGGTTTTGTCGGCACCTGAACTAGTGATAGGGAGTGAAGCAGTTGAGCGTGTAGACCGCTTCACTTATCTGGGGAGTCTCATCAGTGCTGATGGCCTGGTGCCCGACCGTAGCTGCCACCTTGACGTGGTGGTCGGGCTTGACTATCGTGATGACCCAGCCGAGCTATACTAGCTGGAACATATGTTCCTGAAGGTCCTACCATGCCAGGCAGGTCGATTGGAGAACGATGAGACTAAAAGCAGCTACCCAAGGTCTGAGGGCGAAGTGGTACTGCTGACTGACTGCAGAGGGGCGTGACAGCAGTAAGGTTTTTTCCCTAGGACAACCAGCATCTGCAGCGATGCTGCCTTCTGACAAGGAAGGAAGGGTTAGAAAAGGTCGACCCTAAAAATGTCACACCTCATCTTACCTCACGGATTTCCGTCTCCTTGGGTAAGGGTGCCCACTAAGGGCTTTCAAGAGCGGAGCTAATACTCAAAACCTCATAAAAAGGCCGTGCGTGACCGCCCTGAAGCAGTTGTCCCTTGGTCTCTGCGGTCACGCACCCTGGTCTCCAAGACCAACACTAATCTATCTTCCTTTTCAGGTTCCTCAAGAAACAACCTTCCACGGTGTGGGCAGCCGGGAAGTGACAACCGCCCTCATACCCGGACCAGCACACGAGACCAAATCGGTCAAAATCAAATCAAATGATGGACTGGTGACTTATGAAATATCTGCATGGAAACAGAAGGCTCGATTGGCTCTTGCCAACTTGCGTCACTTGTTGCGTATGCAAGATATCCGTCTGCCAATCAAAGGACGAGTGTTCTGTGCAGCAGTTCGTACTGTCCTCCTTTATGGCTCTGTAACATGGCCAGTCAGAGTGGAGGGTATTCGTAGGTTATTGGTTTTCGATCATGTGTCTCCGAACCAGTTGCTCGTATATCCTGAGACTACTGAGTAAATAATGCTGTTGTTTGGAAAAGGGTAGTGGGTAAGGATGACAGATCAATAGATGAAGTAATGAACATGACACAAATCCATGAAGTCACTGACAAGTGAAGTAAGCCAGGTTGGGGTCCACGAGACGATAATAACAGTTGGTTAGAGACTTTAAATGACGTGGCTCAAAATGATTTGCAATAGCGTAGGTGCATCCTTTATTTGTTTTTTCTCATGAGCCCTAGATCTTTTTCTTATTTTTTTAGAATTTTTTTACTGTAAATTATATTACATGAATAATATCTTCGACCCCTCATCTTTTCTATAACCGCCAATTCTTCTACTATCTCTGGTACTATGGGATTTGAATTGACAATTCGATGTCTGTGCTAATTTGATATGGCATCTTGGACTGATGTACATACGTACGAAGTTCTGCGTAGTAGTTGACTGATTGACTAACTGATGTTTAACCCTTATCTTTATACAACTTTCAAATGCAGTATCATCACACGCTTTTCATTCTCTGATCGCACTAGTTCCTTATCGTTTGCCACTAATGTTGTTACTATTTATTGTACTCTAGCATCTCGTTATGCTGATATATTTTGGTGAAGTTGAACTGGTACACATGTGCTAGATTTTACCTTGTATATAAGTGACTTATTTACCACAGCTACCTTACTGTCAAAGTTGGTTTTGTGTCGCTACTTCTACTTATTTTGTTAGTTTTTCTTCTGACTTTTCCAATATGAAGTACGATTGTTTAAAGTGGCAGATATTCACTCTAGGTCCGAATTTGTCTTTGATACTAGGGACTATGAATTAGCTTCATTTATTTCTATCTAGTACAGGATCATATAGTCGGCTCCCTGCCACACGTAGTGTTTAAAGTTTGGTGATTTTGTGTGACTTCTCAAACTAAAGTAGGTGCTGTGGCTTCAAGTTTGGAACCTGTTGATTAGTAGCTGGCTACTTTAATCATCATCTTTTTATTGCTTAATATGTTATTACTCATGAAAAAAAATGATTTTAAACTATTGTTTCAATTACTTTTAATGTATTTATAACTCATATTTTTCATTAATGTTATGTATAATTTCCATTTTCGCAAGTAGATATTGCTTCATTAAATTCTGCCAAAGAACCATGTTCAATGAGGCATTCTTTTTATGTACCTGAAAATCAACAAACTATTGTTGAATCATTTTGTCGACAAATAACCTCATCCGTAATTCCTTCTTCAGATCCTATTTTATCCTATTGTAGACCGACAGATTTACAATTGACGTCAAATAATAATTATGTTGTATCAATGTCATCAATTTTCCAGCCGTTACCTTTTTTACTACAATCAACCTCGTCTTCAGTAGTATCAGTTTCATCACCACAAATCTTATTATCTAGTTTGTCATCTTTCCATAATCCATATAATGTACCATCGTCTGTTACTGCACCCATGTCACTTTCTAATCATCCCTGTCCTTCATACTGTTCTTTCTCATCACATAGTTTAAAACCTATCCCAAGCGTTAAACCTTATTTATCTTCTAATCATACATACTTAGAATCATCCAGGATTATGTTGGATAGTGTTAACAGTAAATCATTTAATAAGACGACTACATTCAATGTTCCTAGTATAACAATAACGACTGCGACTGTAAATACTACTGCTACAATTACAAATACAACAAAAGATTGTGCTTATCATCAATCCAGACAATTATATCCACCTGTATTACATCATACGTCTGATGATAGTTTATATAATAAAGACAGTAAATTCACCTTTATATATCCACCTACTTCCAATTTCTCCTCTCCTAGAACTTCTACCATTAATGAAAATGTCGATGATAATAATAACTTTTCAATTAATTCAACTGCTGAACAATTCCCTACATCCAATTTGAATGTGCCCCAGACTTGCCTACTGCCATCATCATCATCATCACCACTGCAATCATCATTGATTTGCAGAAATTCACAAGCATCTACTATATCTTTGGATCAACTACATAATGATAATCTAAATGATAATTTATCGAATAGCTTCAAAAATGATATATTAATTGCTGATATTAGTACTAGTAGTAGTGGTACTAGTTGCAACAGTAAAATCAATAATGATATGAATATTGACAAAAAATTATCTTGCCTTACTACTTCAAATTCATCTACATCGAATACTTCGGAAAGTTTAAATACTGATGAAAAAGTAATAACACTTTTTAATTCTACAATTCTTTTGATTTTTTATGGTTATTAATACGTACTCTGATAATATGATATGGATCGCACTGGTATAGTGATTGAAGCACTTGGATATCAATGAATGAATTACAATATCTAATTCCACTTCACTTTAATTTTGTCACCTAAGTGGTAGTCTTACTAGCTCCTTGGTGTAAAACTATGTTTGACTGAAAGTCTAATGCATAGAGCATGAATACTATCATAGAAATGACAATGAACGGCATGAGTGATTATTACTAATCAGTTCAGTGAATTGATAGTCAAACAATATTAAATATAATCTAACCTCAACGTGCTTATTAATTCATTATCAGATAATAAATAAACAATTTATCAATAAAGTCAAAATCACGAAGTGACCAGTGATTATTCACTTACGTTCATCATGTAACTACCATGTCTAGCGCTCTCCAATCACATAGTATATGTTCCATTTATAGTCAGAATGTGTGTTTTCCCACTTATTCTTTCTAAATGTTAGCTGAATCAAAAGAAATTTCATAATCATCGTTTTAATTAACTGATTGACAGCATTGTGGTTTACAGTATTATAAATGAACTAAGGTAACTCGATAAATATCTTATCTTATTTGTATGTGAATGTTAGTGATAGACTACTCGGCTGCCCAAATTGGATTAGATTCAAACCTGCAAACAAATGAGTACTATCATCTCTTCCCTCATTCATCAGTAGATCAAGCCTATAAAGTGATATTGTGACCAACCATTTAGACGCTAATTGAATTTCTAAGCTACATCGTGGCATGATCTACTTTTAATCTACTTTATTCTCTTCGTCATTTTGTGTAATCGTTCTTCATAAACGAATGCAAAAGGTAAATGTGTCATGAAATCCAGAGCTGTTTATTCCAATCTTCTCTATCTTTTGCATTATTGTACCTCTAAACCTGATCTCCCCAACTCGAGAATGTTCAACAACTCTATGTGCTTAATCTTCGTTGTCTCCGAAAGATCACTGACAATGAGTGGCGATACCATAACAGTAATGTTCAGATTCGGGGATGTGTTTTAAATGTAGTGACGATAACCAGATTTTTATCACTATCTTCAAACACTGGCATTGGTGGTTTGGACATGTTCAACCAAAGTCTTTTAAATGTCTTTCTTATCATGAATGTTTTGGAGATACAGAGTCAAAAAAACAGAGAAGTGGTCAGTATCTGATACGGGGCTTCTTTAAGCTATGTAGAACTGGTATCAGTCGATCTATCACGATTCATCGGTTGAAGTTGTAGAGATAATGCAACTCACTCACTTGATGCATTATCAGGCATCCCCGACCGTAGCTGCTACCTTGACGTGATGGTCTGGCTTGACTATCGTGATGACCCAACCGAGCTATATTGGCTGTAACATATGTTCCTCTAGGTTCGACTGTGTAAGACAGGTCGATTGCAGCACGGTGAGACTGAAAGCAACAACTCCAGGTCTGAGGGCGAAGTCGTACTAGTGAATGGAGAGGGGTATGACAGCAGTAAGGTGTTTCCCTCGGACAACCAGCATCTGCAGCGATGCTGCCTTCTCACAAGGAAGGGAGGGTTAGAAAAGGTCGACCCTAAAAATGTCACACCTCACACTACCTCACGGATTTCCATTCCGACTATAAGGGCTTTTAAACAAGAACGGAGCTAACACTTAAAAACCCATAAAAAGGCCACGCGTAACCAACATCAGGCGATTGTCCCTTGTTCTCTGTGGTCACGCTCCCAGGTCGTTAATACCAACGCTAATCTACCTTCCTTCTCAGGTTCCTTAGGAAACACCCTTCCACAGTGTGGGCAGCTGGGAAGTAACATCCGCCCGCATACACGTAAAAGCGCATCAGACCAAATACGTCACAATCAAATCTTTCCACCCCATACTCACCCTCTTACTTCTCTGGTCAAACCTTCTCACATTCCTTTATCACTTGCGCCTCTGACACAAACGATTCGAATACGCGAAACGTTTTACCTGTTCTCCTTAAAATACGCTTCAAACTACATGTTGGAGCTTCCAATGTTTGAACGTTGTGCCAAATAGGATAACAGGCTTCATTAGCTTATACTCTGGAATCTCGTGCCATCGATGTATACTGCGTCTCCGAAACTCACATACAGGATCCGAGTAGTATTATTCATTTGACCTGTACTTGTCAAGCTGAAGAACCGTCTCGACTTACGCTTCGTGTATCTGGAAGCCCAGCTGCTCCCGGTAGCCTCACTGGTGTAGGTATAGTACTAAGTCCTAGGGCAGAAGTCGCTCTCTTAGATTGGATCCCGTTAGACAGTCCCTTATGTGCTATCCGACTAAACGGGACGTTACGGACTCAGAAAGCTAGGGAAACTCACCGTTTCCTCTACGTCGTATCTGCCTACTCTCCCACTGACTGCAGTTCAGACGAGGTGAAAGATGAGTTTTACAGAAATCTTTCGGACCTCCTCCAAAATGTTAGGTGCTCTGATATAGTAATGGTGGCTGGTGACTTTATTGCTCAAGTAAGTAGACTTTTGGAAAGGAAAGACACGTGGGTGGATCGTATGGTGTGGCGGCTGATCGAATAGATAATGGCGACCGTCTACTGCAGCTATGCTCAGACAATGGCCTATTTCTAGCAAATACTAAACATCTCATGACCTGGCGACCCCCAAAGTCGTCCTAAGCTGGTCCTAACTAGATTGCATTGCTACCAATAGAGACGCGCAATAGAAGACAGTCGATCAATCTAGAGCACATGTTTGGATACAGATCGCGAGCGAGTATTTGTCTGCGTCTTACTTGACGTATGAAATGTGCAGCAAGTATATCCCTCACGGTTCACTTTACCGATTGCAAAGCGAAGCGTTTATTTCAGGAGCAACTAGCAAAACAGTCAGGAAGCCATGTTAGTGATGTCCGTCTTGAGACAGCTTGGAATATTTAGTTTTACGACACAATGAAATTGAAAAGGCTATGGAAAATCTAAAACGAGCGAGGGCAGTGGGCCCTGATAAATTAACCTGTGAGATTTCCATGGATGGTGGTCCAGTTTATCAGTTAGATTGACTGCGATCTTAGGGTAGGATCTGGGAGTAAGAGTTGAGGATATTCGTAAGTTACTAGTATTAAATTGTAGGTGTATTCGAAGCACTGCGTGTATACCCTGAAACCACTGAGTAAGTAATACTGTTGTTAGGAAACGGGTAGTTGGTAAGGATGACAGATCAATAGATGAAGTAACGAATGTTCATCATTTGAGGTGATTGCGACATGTTTCAAGAATGCTCAGCGACTGACTGCCTCGACGAGCAATGTTTTGTGGTATAGGGTGTAGGCTGGTACAAAGCTGAGGGTTGCCAGATCAAGACATGACACAAATCCATGAAGTCACCGACAAGTGGAGTGAGCCATGTTGGTAGGTCAAGACTATTAGGTTGGGGTCCGCGGGACGATAGTAACCGTTGGTTAGAGACTGAATGACATACCTCAAAACCGTTTGCGATAGCGTAGGTGCATCCATTCTTTGTCTTCCATCAAATACTCTCACTCTATGTTGTTTTCGACATTGAATCCTTTCTTCATATATACCTTTCCACTCCTTTTTTGAAAATCCTACTGTTAATTTTCATTCCTTTTTTTATATTCTACCACCTTACTTTGATGGTATGGTTACTCTGACCAATGCCTATTCGCACCAGACTCTATGTTGATAATGATGACTGACGTACTTTGTGTGGGTTAATGTTAATTGTCACAGTTTAAGCTGACATATCTAATGTATGTATGACTAATCACTGCCAATATATTGTTACCTTTACTTTTTTAATACCTATTGGCATCCATTAAATACCATCAATACACTCAGTCTACTGTTATTCACCTTGAGAAATCAATGCCAAGTAAATCACTTGATAGCGCTATATATAATACCATCATTGCTTTTCAGTAATGATTATTTAAGTACAATCTGAATTTCATTTTTTATTCTTTGGTATTCAGTGTAACAGTCTTCCACGTTTCAACTTGCGCTATACTAATGTACTTCAATATCCGAAATATTCTACTCGTAAAAATTCAGGCTTTGAAAGACGTCTCAAGTAAGTTAATGCTATTGTTTACTTATTTATTGTCATTTTATTTTCATAGTTTATATCATTTGCTGATCTTAATTAAACACCAAACGAAAATCAGCAGACACTAAACAGCTTTTCCGTCTGAATATGATACTTCTCAGCAGTGTACATCCATAACTCCACCGAGCATCTAGCCCGGGACTTAATGTCTCGTAACCAGCGCTTAACATGTTGACCATTCTGTTGACGCCTGATATACATGTCTAACTTCGTTCAATTTACGATATTATGCAGCCGTCTTCCATTGCGTACGGTAGATAAGTGTTCCACACTATGCGTAGTTGCACTACATTAGTTACATCTTATCACTGGAACACTATGAGTTGCATCTCGATGTTAGTTGGTTATTATTTACAGTAAAATGAGTTCATCCAGATTGTTAATTTTTCATAGTCAACATAACGGAACTGATCATATTTTGATAACCGTTGATAAACATAAATCATTGAATATTTGTTTCGGTAAATATTTTGGGTCAACGCTTAGATTTAGTCTCTAACTGATTTCAATGAGGATAAAATCGATGTCAACATAATGAATGATCTGGATAACGTTAAAATCATTTTAACTGCCTACGTGAGGTCTATCTTCTTAAGTGTCATTAAACTATTCGGAAGCAATATTGTAAAGATATTGTGGATGATTTTTTACTCTAACTAACGAAACTTATTGATTTCCTTATTTTTCCTTTAAATTCATTCAAAAAATATTTTCCTCTTCTTTGATTTATACACTTAATGGTGGTTTCCTATACTGTGAACTAGTCTACATCACTAAATGGTTATGAATTTTGTTTTTGTTTATTTGTTAGAAGTTTTGGGTTTTTTTTCTCCTCAGTTGATTCATGGTAGTATCATAAACCTTTGCGACAAAATGGTTGACATGCGTTAAGATGAAAACTGTAAATAATATGTGATCTTTTGCAACTGATCAACCATTGTTATGTTGTTCTTTTCGTCAGTCAGCTACTACGTGGAACTTCGTACGTACGTACATCACTTCACGTTACTATACCACATTAGCACAGAGACACAATTGTCAATTCAAATCCCATAGTGGTAGAGGTATTAGAAGTATAAGCAGTAATCAGAAAGATTAGGGTTCGAGGATATTATTCAAGAAGCATAATACAGTGAAATCAAGTTGAGAAGAGAAAGATAAAGGTGATGTTGAATTCTGATTAGAATTCGAGAGAACACAAAGAATGGATTCACTTACACTATTGCAAACGATTTTGGACCATGTCATTCGAAGTTTCTAACCACCGGTTACTATCGTCCCACGGACCACAACCTAATAGTCTACACCTACCAACATGGCTCACTCCACTTGTCGGCGACTTCATGGATTTGTGTCATGTTTTGGTCTGGCAGCTCACAGCCTTCTACAAGCCTACCCCTATACCATAAAACATTGCTCGTCGAGGCAGTCAGTCGCTGAGCATTCATAAAACATGTCCCAATCACCTCAAATGATGAACATTCGTTACTTCATCTATTGATCTGTCATCCTTACTCACTACCCGTTTCCTAACAACAGTATTACTTACTCAGTGATTTCAGGATAAACGTGCAATGCTTCGAATACACCCACAATCTAATACTAGTAACTTACGAATATCCTTTACTCTTACCGGCCATGTTTCACAGCCATAAAGTATGACGGAGTGAACTGATAAACAGTAGACTCGTCCTTTGGTTAGCAGTCAGATATCTCGCCTACTTCATAAATAACGCACGGTGGCAAAAGCCAATCGAGCCTACTGTATGCGTTCTGAGATTTTGTTCCCTAATAATTTAAAGACATCTAATCAAGTTTGTTTTACTGGACAGAATAATCTACTCTTCTAACTAGTGCTATTTTATTAAATCAGTTTATTTAGCGGATTAGGTCAATAAGTCCGTATCATGAGTAGCCATTATCGCTCGGACTATTTGTATGAATGCATATATTTATTTAGGAAAGCATAGCATATCTTTTAAAAATTAGTAACCCCCTTTAGTTATGGTGCAACATTCTATAGCATACAGTCAGTCAGTCAAGTATAACGCAGAACTTGGAACGCATGTACATCAGTTCAAGTTGTCGTGTTCCAGTTAGTATATGGGACAAATCCCAGAGTATAGCGGTAGTAATTAAAAAATCAAGGATCGAAACCACTCAAGAAAATTTAAATCAGTGATGACTTCAGAAACTCAGAATTTGCTTGTTGGGGTCCGTGAGCTGATAGTAATCGGTGGTTAGAGACTTCGAATGACATGTCTCAAAACCGTTTGCAATCGTGTAAGTGAATCCATTCTTTGTGTTTTCTCATATTCTAATCAGAATTCATCATCAGCTTTATCTTTCTCTTCTCAACTTGATTTCACTGTATTATGCTTCTTGAATAATATCCTCGAACCCTAATCTTTCTGATTACTGCTTATACTTCTAATACCTCTACCACTATGGGATTTGAATTGAAAATTGCATCTCTGTGCTAATGTGGTATAGTAACGTGAAGTGATGTACGTACGTACGAAGTTCTACGTAGTAGCTGACTGACTGACTGATGTCTGCTCACATCGGAGTCATGGTTTTATCTATCAGTTGGTTTAGAATGTGAGGTTTTCACAAGCATCTTTTTTTATGCCTAGCTGGAACTTTGAAATGGTCTATCTACCAGTTTCTTTTTTTGTGTGATCATAAACCCTCCCGTATGGCTGAACTTTCAAAAAATCATCTGTTCTTTCTTTAAACCAGACCTTTCTGTACATACCTTCACATTTTATGTAGACGTCTTAGTCTTAACCATTTTTTGACTAGTCGTTTGAATATGTTCTCCTATTGTACTATTGGGAGATTTCAAGTCAGAAATCACAAAATCTACGTCGACATTTTTTGTACGTTAACTGTCTAAGGTTTCAACAGGATTATGTGAAGCTTGGTGTGAATTAGCGTTTCTCATTGATAAATTGCAGTGTCGTTTGACAAACTAATTTTTAGTCACTGGCGTAAGTCTTGTTGATGAGTTAACAGGATTTGTTGTACTTTCCAGAGCATTATTATCGTTTGAGATATGCTCTTGAGTAAGTGTCTGATTAGTGATCTTATCTGAGATTATACAGGCATAACTGAACTTGGCAAGCACTCATTCCACCGTTTGAGATTCTTTCAGTTGTTTAGCTGCCATATGGGAATCGAATCTAATCACGATTGAACATGAAAACTTCTGATTTCTTTTACTGAGGCGAATACGTTGACAAGGACTATCCTGAAGACCAGTGGCTTTCAGTATCCATTACCTCACTGATTTAAACGGGATTTTTCAGTTACATTATAGATAATCACTTTATTTCTAGAGATTAGCCACTTAGTAACTTGATTAGCAATGAAATCGACAACAAATGCTGCTTTAGTAGTGTTTTCAAGACTATCGAGAACCACCTTCTTAATTATAAGTATCTTCGGGACTGAAAAAGCTTTTATTTTATATCATCATGTGTTGATATGGGACTTGCAGGCGACTTTATTTGGTTATCTGTCCTGTCTAGTTTACTGTTTACATTATCGATGTTATTACATCTTGGTGTGCAAGTCGTAAGACCGCTAGTTTCTAAGTCAATATGAAGCTTGTGTGTTGTAAGTCATGTCATAGTATTATCCATCGCGAAAGCAGTTGATTGGCAAGGGGTATAAGCAATAACAGAATCACTATTAACTAGTGTTAAGCCTTTTACAGTTTTGTTTTTTACATGTGCTACTCGTTTCGATACTATTGTTAATCTTAATGCTATATAAATCATATTTAAGGAGTAAATTATAACTACACGCTTTTTTTCTGAAAGAGCGTGTGTAGTGTGCCGATAACTGCGTGTTCTTAAACTCGGTTTATAAATCAGAAGATGAACTCCAAGTATCGTATACGTTTATTTGAGGCACACCACAAAGCGAAGCGGAGAAGCGAATTGGAGAAGGCTAAGAGCCAACTCTTTGGATTACAATGCGAGCGAATGAGTGAAGCGAATAGGAGAAGGCTGTTGAGCCAATTCTTAGAGATAGAACATGACTAAGAATATATAGTCAGATAAAAATAAGACAGACATATGACAAGCGAAATAGGCATGCACACATATGAATAAAAGCGACGAATGATTGACAAGGTCAAAAGCAAGCGATACAAATCATGTGAGTTCATGGGAATATTACGAGATTAACATTAAAGCGAAAAGGATGAATATGCGCGCAAGTGTAAACAATGTTCAATCATACCAGCGCATACAAACCACACAAAGGCAATGGTACATATAAGTTATTGTTTTACAAATGGCTTGGTTAAATAAATTAATCGAAAGGGCTTTACCAAGTTAGATGTGAGAGAACTGAAATATATGTGGAGGCACTACATACAAATGGCTTGGTTAAATAAATTAATCGAAAGGGCTTAACCAAGTTAGATGTAAGTGAACTGGAGTATATGTGGAGGCACTACACGTGTTATTGTAACGCAAAGATATAAATACTTTATGCGAACAATTCATTTGTCTTTTTATTGAATATTTGCTACACCTAATCGTTTTTTATTTATTTCAATTGTGTTTTTTTTATTCGTATGATTTATATCATACCGTCTGTTCATGTGATTTAGCGACATAGTTTAATGCTCATGTTTATTCACTACACCAGCTGTTTAATTACATTGATTTTGACTACCGGCTAACTAATATTCACTTGAAATTTCAACAACCTTGACCATATAATTTTGATGATCAACAGTTATTTAACTAAATGAAGATAGATGACTGATTAAATTATAAAATATTCTTTTCTGTCTAATATTTCCGGTGTTTGAATTCTACAATTCACAGTCCTATTAAAAACAAAATCATTATCATAATTTTAATCCTTAAAGATAATTGCATATTATATTCGGTGAACATTAGGTATATTTGTGTTATATTTGTAACGTTGTCATTATTATCATCATCATCGTTGTGTTTGTTGTTGTTTCTGTTCTTTACAATTCACTAGTTGTTTATTCTTTATTTCATACTTTTTCTTAACCGGAAATTCAAAAAGACTTGTCGTACAATCATATGACGTACTCAACATTCTGTTCTATATATATATATATATATATATATATCATATGACTTGATGTATGAGCAAAAGAACTCATCATCATAACATATACACGTATTTATTTGCAAAACATTGAATAATGAATGATCGGTTATCTGAATACCTGGTCGTGAATACACTTTTGAAGGCCCCATATACACTATTTTCCATCGTTATGAACATCACCATCACCATCACCACCAGTAAATCAGTCCAGTTTAAACAATATGAAGATTTGACTTCATCTATGTTTAGTTTCAGTCTAATAGTAGTATGGTTCACGTCATAAATTTCTAACGTGTGATTGTTAATTGTTTTTGTAGGTCTGTTTTACTTTCTATTTGTATGAGATATGCGTGTTTACATATTACATATCTACACTGATTTTAGGACTGTACGCCTACGCAAAATGTAGATATATAAACACGTAGACAAATTAACACATTTGTATGTGTATACATTCTTATCAAATTTGTATCCAATGTTTGTTTGTCAATTTGTTTCCATGTTTCCATCTAGGTAAGCTTTACAATCGTGGTTAATACCAGTCAAAAAAGCATGATTGACCTTGAGACAAGTTGCATTTACTACGCGAACAATTCCAGAGCCAGAATAAATAGTTATACTGTGATCGTACTACACCCACGCCATTTTACTTGCAATCAAATAATTCATTTTGTCTGTGAAAGTCATTGTTTCTCACAGTTGATTTCATATAAAAAAAAGTACTAAACTGAGAAATTATGATCCACGCATGAAAAAACTTAAATGACTTATTCAACATCGCTTAGTTACTGTATCCAATCCTTTTATGTTTTAAAGACACGAGGTTCAGCGAAGGCAGCTCATGTCATCATCATATATATATATATATATATATATATATGTCATATAAAATGAATAGGTGAATTATTGATTATACTGTAAATGAAGTAAGATAATTAAAACGTTTTTCACAGTTGAAATCACGAACTGAACTTAGCTATGCACTGCAGGGTTGTCAATTAATGATACTGACTGACATTTTTAAATATAATTCTTATTAAATTTGCATATGAATATCAACTTTCTATACTAAGAGTTGGATTCTGTCATCATCTGTAATTAATTGTAATCTGTCCATATATCAGGAAAATCATAGCACACATGTATATAAAATAAAATGTTTCACTGTTAAGGCGTTTCATACTAGTGTGGAGTGTGCTACTTATACGAACGATATAAGTAGTATAAGGGACGTGAAAGAAGAACTCTCACGGTCACTAGAGGAAAACGGAAAGCAAATGGAGCAAAAGCAAGAAGGAAATAGAGTACCGACAGGAAGTAAAGGAAGCAACAGCAGGAATGGAAGAAGGCTGAAGCGTTGAAAGTCAGGACTCAAAGATGGTGTGCAAATAGAGTGATCAATGTAATGTTTTCGTTTTTAATTGACTAAGAGTGTAAATTTGCTAAATACAATCTATCGAACCTGCCTCAGTCTTCTCACTACGACGAAACAGAGCTATCTAGTGCTTTCAGATTTTCAATAATTATCTCACTTTAATCAGTTCATGATTTCAATGAAACTCGTCACATAAGATCAACACAATGTTATGCAATAAACAGTATGAATGTTGAAACTATTCTTAAGCATATTGATGTAGTTTACAAGTTGAATGTAATATGAGATGAGATAAATCAAAATGCATCCATTCCTCTTTTGCTTTACTTTTCTCTTTCTGTTTTTTTCCCTTTTTTTCAGACATACTGGACTAATTTTAGATGCAAAGTCAACTTTACATTTACTAAGAAAATTTTTACAACCATTTGTTAATCGTGATTTCGATCAACTTATAAAAAAGTATATGGATGTAAGTGTTATATATCTAATATATATATATATAATGCTTAAAGAGTAAATGGATAACTTTTTAAACATTAACTAGATGAATAATATTTTCGGATGAAGATATTTATAAGTAGTTTTGTGTGTTCTTTAAACTTAGTTAGTTGCTCAATTATGAAGTTTTTATTGCTGTTCTAAACAAAAGCACTAGTGACAAGTTCGTCACTTAGTATGCTTGAGGCTATTACGAGTTTATCTTAGTCGATAAACGCGAACGAGACTTTTACCAGCGTCCAGATAGGCTAACTTGAATCCCAAGCTGAAGATAGAAGTCTTGATAAGCGTAAAAAGTATATTCTACAAACACCCAGCAATCACAGTACAATCGAGCATTCAACTCTCGTTTATTTATACAATATAGGGACGTCCTTGAGACAGTTAAAAAAATAGTACACTAAAATACACAGCAGCCAATTACAGCCATGGATTTTCCTGGTGGGAATTGAAATCTCAAGGTCAACTGATCAGTCCATGCTGGCAAACGCGAAAACCAAAATAAGGCATTATCAAGCGAATTTTGGTGATCTAACATCCCCAACAACTAGCTGTTTATATACATACATATACGTAAACACTGATCATATCACCAACATTAACAATGACAACTTCACAATGAAGTCACTGAGATCAAAGAATACAAAACACAAGAAAAAAACATCTATCTTAATAAGAAATCTTTTCCATCGTTTACTCAACAGTTTGGAAAACTAACTATGAACATACGAGTATCATATAAATATTCTAAGTGAACAATATAAAATGAAATATGTTTTGAGTTCACGTTATTATTAGATTAGAAACGTATTTTTAAGTTAGTTGTAACTTGATACTGAATAGAATACTATACAGATTAATATTTTAAAAAAAAGCTGCTAACTTAATTTATCCAATCGTTACAAATGTATCTATTAACAGCTCATATTAACATTGATTCATTCATTCATACATGTCTTTCAAAAAAAAAGTGTTCGTTGTACTATTTTTCGATTTTGTGTGAAATAGTTGGTTATTTATATATTTATTTACGACTCATTTTTCAAATCAGTCAATCATAAACAACGTAAAGGGTCAAAAAACACCGATTTGTACATGCAACTTTGAGACTCAAATAGTTAAGCTCTAATGAACAACTACTACTGTAGTGAACAAGAACACAGGTGGGGCAACCGAATTGTATTTAACGAAAATTACAGAGTTACTCAGTAAAATTGGAAAACCATATCGTAAATCGTTCATTTGCAAAATAACAGTTCATCATATCGAACTGGACTGTTCCTGTTGCCAATCATCAATCCATTGTCACTATTCATGCGTTTCATACAAATTTCATTGTTTTCCAACTCTTCCTTTCTTGATCTTCCCCCATCTTCCGCTGCCAGACATTACGTTGACACTCACGTCATATACTACTTATAAGTAGCTCACACCGCACTACTACTACTACTAACTGTTTTGTTTTAAAAAAAACTAGCATCTGCAATAAAATCGCCTTATTGTAACGGTAGGAAAGGCTTTCGGAACGTACTGCTTTAAAAAAATAACACACCTAACCCTGTCGCATAACTTTCCTTCTCGATGTTAAGGTCTTTAACGTTCAGAACTACACATAAAAGCACCGTATATGAGATCAATTTGGAGGAGTTATTTCTTTTGCCCCACGGTCACGCTTATACCTCGTCACGGCCGCTACTAATCCGATTTCCTTTTCAGGTACCACAAGATATGGACAACGTGGGAGTACCAAATGAACACTCACCTTCTTTCTAAAAGATTATTAGTAACTTCTGTCAACCTGAATGACAAGTTGTTGTAATTCCTCCAACTCTTAATTAGGTTGAAAAGACTAGAAAAAACTAAAGCGAGAGAGAGAGAGAGCAGTGGGCGCTGATTGGCTAACCTTTCAGATTTCCTAGGATGGTTGTCCAGTTTAACCGTTCAATTGACTGAGATCTTAAGTAGGCTCTGGGAGTAAGAGTAGAGGATATTCGTAAGTTAATAGTATTAGATTGTAGGTGTCTTCGAAGCATTGCACGTTGTAGGATCCAAACTGAGGTTTGAATTGAGGATTAACTGTCCAGGTAGTTTAGATACTCGTCTTGCCCAGTTTAAATCCAAAACAAATGATTTGGGTAAATAAAGGTTCTAATATTCATCATAAATATAAATATACATCATTACCTATACAATATTACCGATTTGTTATTCCTTCAACGATTGTTCGATTAATCAATCAATAATACAATAAAAGTTATTCTATCCCTCCTGGATAGATCAGATTCGTCCGGCAGATAACAATTGGTGTCTATATAACACAGAGTGTTTCTAATTCTGGAAGAGTGCTTCGATTCACGATCAAAATGCACAACTTCAGTCCGTACAAACAACCCAATCAAAAGAGGAACAAGTCAGTATGCCTGTCGCCATGACTAAATATCAGCTTAAACAACATAAATGCAGTTCAGAAAGAAACACAGAAACTCAGTAAATGCAAAAGAAATAGAAACTAAAATAAACTACAAATATTATCATCTTAAAAACGGAATTGAACAGATTAATAAAATGTACAACTGAAGGAATCAATAAGGACATATTACAAATGTATACATGGGATTTTGAAAAACAAGGCCTTCTAAAATGGATTTTACACATATATCCTGAAACCACTGCGTAAGTAATGCTGTTGTTACGAAACGGGTAGTGGGTAAGGATGGCAGATCAATAGATTTGATAGTGGATGTTCATTAGTTGAGGTGATTGGGACATGCTTTATGAATGCTCAGCGACTGACTGACCCAACGAGTAATGTTTTATGGTATAGGGGTAGGCTTGTAGAAGGCTGTGAGCTGCCAGACCAAAACATGACACCAATCCATGAAGTCACTGATAAGTGGAGTAAGCCATGTTGGTAGGTGTAGACTATCAGGTTGGGGTCCGCGAGATGATAGTAACTGGTGGTTTGAGACTTTGAATGACATACCTCAAAACCGTTTGCAATAGTGTAAGTGAATCCATTCTTTGTGTTCTCTCGAATTCTAATCAGAATTCATTATCAGCTTTATCTTTCTCTTCTCAACTTGATTTCACTGTATTATGCTTCTTGAATAATATCCTCGAATCCTAATCTTTCTGATTACTGCTTATACTTCTAATACCTCCACCACTATGGGATTTGAATTGACAATTGCATCTCTGTGCTAATGTAGTATAGTAACGTGAAGTGATGTACGTATGTACGAAGTTCGACGTAGTATCTAATTGATTGATTGTGGTGTATATCGCATTTTCTGTTTGTTTTAAAATGAAATCGTTTTTAATCTATATTTGGTCTCTTAACATTTTACCAACCTCATGATATACTGATCAAACCTTTGTATGTCAGTTTCATGGTATCTCTGACGTGTTCTTGTTACTTAAATGCTGAATTGTAGTTTATTTCCATGCTCTCCCGTTTTTATCTCCAACTAAAGGAATCACTAATCGAGCAATGGGTTAGAATTAAATTTTCGATATATGACTTAATAAATTGGTTTATGGCATCATTTGTATTGTCTAAGTAAATTACTGGATTTCTGACCTTATCATATGTAAAATAAAGTTACACTTTGAATTATGTGACTCTCTTCAGTGGATTAAGATATTCTGTACTAGATTTTACATTAAAATATGTTTCTAATATAAGATAAAATTTTTAATTTTCTGATGTTTCTCTTGCCTTTAAACGATTGTTCTTCAGTATTGATATTAGGTTATGTCAAAAAATTATCATCCTCAAGGATTAAGATGTGCACTACTGATGATTCCCAAGCTCGGGCGAAACGGCCTCGTAATGCTGGTCCAACATTGATCGATTCATGATTTCATTGAATGATTAAAAAGTCTCATAAAATTATTGTCATTCTAAAAAAAATGCAACCATTAAATTACTAACATTGTTTCTTTTTATGAATGCTTACTAAATATATTTCTAGTAATTATTGTGTCTTTATTATTTTATTTTAAAAATACCTCACATCTTTTTTGCTCATTTTATATAGTTGTATATAATTTATGGAGAACTTTCTTTTTGTATTTTTTTTTTCTTCTTGTGCGTGTGTCTGTGTGTGTGTGGGTGGAAAAAAACAGGATTTCATTCTACTGGCTGTGAATAATATTCGTGGTGTATTAGGTGAACAATCTGTAACTGAAACTGACTTGAATAAATTTCGTCAAAGTTTAGTCCGTCGGGTAAGTTGTATCTGTTCAATACTAATTTGAATCGATTGTGTAATGTATAAATCTTTTGGTCTTTAATAACTCATTGTTTTTAAATTTCTTATTTGTATTAAGTACTGATTAATCAAAAATAATCATCCATATATATGATTTGTTGTATTATGTGTGAATTCGTTTCTAAAACTTGAAACCGACCAACGCATAAAACATGGCTCTCAAAACTCCTTGTCTCATAATCTACCGAATGGGCATTAGTTCACATATGTTAAATTGCATTATCAGTGTAAAAAGCTTGTTGAATTCTACAGTTTGCATTACAAACTGATTTCATTTAGACAGTCATGAAAAACCTTCGAAGCACTAGACAATCATTTTATTCTAGTTTTTAACTTCTTCACAATGTACATTTAAAACCTCACCTGGAGCTGGATCCGTAACTTTCAGATTACGTAGCTACCACTTAACCTTTAGATCAATTGAATCGTTATCCAGTAGTTCACATTTGGGGTAATTATCTTCTACTGTCATTGGTGGTGCTTATCTGCTCCTTACATTCAATCTGGTTGACGAAAACACCTATTAGATACTTCCTGGTGTTCATTAATAATTTATAATGTACATTATCAAAAAATAATATGATCAGTTAGTTACAATTAGATAATATGATGTTTGCTAAGTGTAATATTCTTTATATGAATGGTATTTTATCATTAAATAAGTTTTAAATCATTATTATTATTATGATTAGATTTCACAAAATTTACTTATTAACTAGATGCTTTAATTGTTGCAGAATCTAATAAATTTCTAATTTCCTTCAGTCACTTTTTTTGTTCAATACATCATGAATTTGTTTACTAACAGACAATTGACAACAACAGATCAACAATATGCATGAGAAGAAGATTTTAACTTGTTCAATTGTCTTTTTTTTATGTATCATTTATAGTATTTCAACTCGTTTTTTAAACTTTTAACAGGGTTTTTTAAAATAACCAAAAAATTTTTTAAAATTTTCACAGCGTTTTTTAAAATTTTTTTTAAAAAATAAAATAAGAACTACTTTTAATTAAAATCTTCTTTAGCAATCGCTTTTAAACAATTGCGACGTACGTGTCTTGAATAACCTTGTAAATCATCCCTGGTTAATTGATTTACAGAATTTAGTATTAGATTTATAAAAGATTCGTTGGATCCGCTCGCCAGAGATCTTCTTACAATGGATTTAATTTTCGAAAACGCGAATTCGATTGGGTTAAGCATGTAACTATAGGGAGACAAAAACATAACGTTTACTCCCTTTTCATCAAAAACGTTTTTTTGTGATAATTGAGTGATGAATCCTCGCATTATCAAGTATAAAAATACAATTCTTAAAAATTGATTTTTGATTGCATTTTTCAATTAGTTGATCAAAAAACGGGCTTAATTCTATCAATTCTTCAACAAAATTGATAATATCACCGCATATCTTCTTATTTGATGGTTTTCCTGTTTTTTTCTTCTCAACTCGCGATTCCTTTTTATATATGCAACCTTATAATATTTGTAGCGGCCTGATAGTTTACATCTGTAAGAAATGCCGCATCCTTGACGCTGTATCCATCTTCAATAACTTTTTTTATAAGGCTTTTTCTTTTTTCATTCGAAATCAAGTTGTTTTTTCTATTTATTTCTGACATTCTAAGGATTACAAAAAATTTTAAAAAACGCTGTGAAAATTTTAAAAAATTTTTTGGTTATTTTAAAAAACACTGTTAAAAGTTTAAAAAACGAGTTGAAATACTATATTCAATGATACATAAAAATATTTTTTTTAACAAAATAAAATTTCTCACAAAAAAGATTCTTAGATAATTTTAAATTTTACATTTGAACTGTTTCATTGTCATGTACAATAAATCACTTTCAAAATCATAAATTCTTACAAATTAAAATAATTTTATTCGTTTTTTTATTTCAATTAACAATCCAATATATTCCATAGTTGAATAATTATAGTATTTTAAGCTCTTATTATTATTATTATTTAGATAACAAAATTTGGAATTTATTACCCATTAACTTGAGTAATTATACTAATAACTAATCGGTAGATCTTAATTGGTATTACTTTCTTATTTGCTAATCCTGTCATTCTCCAATCACCTCTTTCTTCCACTATCCTTTCCAATTACTATTCATTCTCGTGATGACTTCTATATATAAAAAAAAACGCTAACCAACTCTTAATCGTGTACTTCTAACAGTTTACTGAAGTTCTGACGATTCAGGTGTAGTAGTAGTAACTATCATTCATCATATCTCCTTCACTTACACACACACACTCACACGTACAGCAGCCATTATTCGTATTTGTTTTCCAAACTTATACGTAATTGTTTCAATTCATTCTTTGAAATTAATTAACTGTATGATTGTCAGTGTTTGATAGTCAAATTTGTGAATCTGACAGTGAACACCTGCTTTTCTCTACGAAAATAATATGCAACACAGGTCATAGCTTCTCATTATGACTAAGCTACTGAGTCTAGATAACTACTAAGCTGTTCAATGGTTATGAAGTTTTTAGTCAGAGAACATTCTTTCACATTCATTGGACAAATTCAAACATTAGAATTAAATGCTCACGCTGAATTCCAATCGTTGTCACAGTCGAATTATACTTAAATCTTGTAATTAAAATTGGTCTGTCAAAATCTGAGCAGGATGCATGAATTGAAATATTAATATTAAATATGAATAGCAGGAAAAAAATTTGAAAACTTTCACTAATTTTAATTGTTTTACGTGTTTTCAGTGAAAACAAAAATTAAATTTGTGTAAGCTTTTGTTTATTATTTCATATACTAGTTAATATAACTATCTGTTAAAGTTGTAATTGTTTGAAAATACTTTAGAGATGGAAAAAAACTATCTTTAGAAAAACTAGTGTTTACTGAAAGGCTTTCCCTTTCTAAGCAAATAAATAAACCTTGTCCTAATCTCCATAGTATGATTGCTAATTTAGTATATTTTCCAAAAACATTTTAAGAATTCGAAGTGATTAATAAATTACTATTTATTTGTCTTGTAATTGAACTAATTCTTAATATTAAAACTTTTTTTGCCATCTTTTCTCCTTTAATGCTTTCAGTTAGATAGTAAATGTTAGACGATAACAAAATTGAAATCACCAATCAATCATTGTTAGACCACCATTAGAAACCTGGAAGCGCTTGACGGCCGTTTCGTCGTGGTACGGGACTCATCAGCAGTGTGCATCCATGGTCCGTGCACCGCAGGACTCGAGCCCAGGACCTTCGGTCTTGTGCGCGAACGCCTAACCTCTGGACCACTGGACCGGCATCTAACGATGTTAATGTCTAACTCTGATTGATCTATGGATTTTACGCGACCGAAGGTCCCGGGTTCGAATCCTACGAGGTGCAGGAGTCGTGGATGCGCACTGCTGATGACTCCCATACCATGACGAAACAACCGTCCAGTGCTTACAGGTTTCTAATGACGGTCAAACAATGATTGATTGATGATTTCAAATGTTTAAAAACACTTATCTCCATAACTCTAATTGAAGATAACGAAGTTGTAGAAATGCACTAAAAAGTCATTGTGTTGTCGTTCAAGCATTCAACAAGTAAAACAAGATTTATTTAAATGACAGTGAATTTTTTCTATTTAACACAACAATCAGTTTCAGAATCATACTTCTCCAAGCATAACTTCTTACAAGTATTACAATAAACAGTTTTACAATGAAAATATTAAACTGATTAGATATCTCTAAATGATTGTTAATCATTAAAAAAAAAATAAGATTAACTTCACGAATAGTAAAGAAGTTTTTATGTATTTCACATTGAAATAGTTTAACTATTTTTTATCGAATTACTGCAGTTTGTTTTTCTTTGATAAATTTAAGTGAATAATATATGAAAAGATATTCTGTTTAAATGTAGGCGTTATTGATAAATAATAAGCCTACTTGTATAGTTTATTAATTATTCATTTATTTATGTAGTATTTTTTTTTAATTTTTATTTCTTTCTGAGAAATTTTTTTCTTTTCTCGTAATGTAATGTAATGTTGTTGTACCATGAAGCGCTTATCAATGCTGACATCATGCGATTGATTTATGAACTAGTTTTTGAAGTAAAAAAAAAAGAACTAATAACACGGTTTGTATTTTCCGTTTAGTATTATCAAAGTTTGCAATTCATGACTGTTACATACTGGGATATGTGTGCATTGTAAGCAGATTGATTGTCTTTATCTTACTATTAATTAAGTTATACTTTTTTCAGTAAAGTTCAGTTTGTACTGTAAGAAAGTATTTTCGAATTTCAAAATTAAATCAAACCATCACTTATTCGATAGTTTAGATTTATTAGAGAAAATCTTTTGGCGTAGGCGTGATATCCGTTCGCTAACCAAAGGGCGGGTGTACTGCGCAGCAGTTCGTTCCGTTCTCTTATATGGCTGTGAAACATGGCCGTTAAGAGTAGAAGATGTTCGTAGGTTACTAGTATTCGATCATAGATGTTTAAGAAGCATTACTCGTATATCGTGGGACAGCCGAGTAAGCAATGCTGTCGTTAGGAAACGAGTACTAGGTAAGGATGGCAGATCAATAGATGAAGTGGTGAAACTTCATCAGTTGAGGTGGTTGGGACATGTGTTACGAATGCCTAACCACCGACTGCCTCGACGAGCTATGTTTTGTGGTGTAGGAATAGGTTGGAAGAAAGGTAGGGGCGGCCAGACCAAAACATGGCACAAATCCATGAAGTCACTGACAAGTGGACTGAGTCATGTTGGTAGATGTAGACTACCTGGTTGGGGTCCGCGAGACGAAAGTCATCAATGGTTAGAGACCTTGAACGACATGGCTCAAAATCGTTTGCAATGGCGCAGGTGCATCCACTCTTTGAGCTCTCTCAAATCCTAATCTTATGGATTCGTCAGCACCACTACCTTTGTCTTTCTAACCTTATCTCACTGAATTATATTTC